GGAAGACCGCCTTCCCACTGACCCCTGATTAGTCAACTAAATGCTGTATCGATGCTCAATCTGTTTTACAGACAGGATTTAACCCCTGGTTTAGTTCCCTCATAGAGATCAGAGGCAAAGTAATGGGCCGTGAGATCACAATTAGTGTGGAGATTAGTGATTGATTAGCTAATTATGATAATACGACGGTTCATATGGAAATGGGAGTGCAATGCGCTATATCCTGCATAAACAAGAGACTGGAAGGGCTGAGAGAGAATATGGTTTGTGTACGAGAGAATGAGGTAGTCAAGTGGAAACATGAGGCTCTTCAAAGTGTCTCTGTGTGTATATTTGCACAAATTGCACAGATGCATCTTTGTGTGTTTGTGTATTTTTGCCATTATCTGCACAAAGACAGTGCAACATAATATTTTGTTGCTCCTCCCACTTTTTTGTGGTTTAATTTTTGAATTTAAAGCAAACTGTGCCAAGGTCTTGATGTATAATCAAACTGTAAAGTGGCATACGGTACATATATAATGTGTACATACAGTTTTTTTGTAATTGTTGACAGACAACAATCATTGTGACATTTTCAGACCAGTGTATACAAGCGAAAGTGTAAGTTTGGTCCACTGTATATGGCGATGTTTAGTCGGGAAGGGCGGCGCAGTCATGTCGTGGTTTGCAGCAAGAAGATTCTGGGTTCGAACCCGGCTGGTGAGAACCCACGCATTCACCAGCCGGGCACTCCAGCGTCTTCCCATAGTCCGAAGACATGCATAATAGGTGAACTGGTGATTCTACGTTGGCGTTAGTCACACTGGCTCTTTGGCCTCTCGTCTACTGTCAGCTGGAATAGACCCCAACCTTCTGTAGGATAAACTGAGCGGAGCTAATAAATGCATGGGATGTTTGTTAAAGGCTGATCTGTGTAGACGAGCTGAGTTTCCATACAGGTGTGTCTCAGGTTTCTTTTGCCTGAATTAGGTGGACGTGCTCATGTTAGTCCTCTGGTACCCTTTTTTGTAAAGCTGAGCTCCGAATGCAGGAGTTTAGGGCTGGTTTCCAGCTATTCTACTGGGTCTGAACTGGTGTTTGGCCCAGATTATATGTATTTCATCATTTTGAAACCTCATCAAGACTCATGAAAGACTCATCAGGGCCTGATTATTGTCAAATATATTTGATATTCACAAGTATGAGATGGTTCAGATACCCAGAGCAGAGGACAGGGTTGCTAAGCAGTGGTATACGGTCTATAGCCCCATAAGGCTTTTTTCTAAAACTTCTCGACTACTCTTACCATCTCCACCAGGACTGAATGTACCCTCAGAAACTATTTTTTCTTCCGAACTGTTTTAACCTTCTGCTTTTGTTCTTGTTTCACACTAAAAGCTGTTTTTATTGTCACAGCAGCTTGTTGCGCCACCAGCAGTCTCCATGCTGTTTAAATCTGTTTCCTCTTGAGGTCATGTGAGCTGGTCTACTGCTGCTCCCTCTGGCCAGACAATCTTAATATGTCCTGTCGTGTGTCATGTGCCATTATATTCAAGCTTTGTAGTTTGTGAATGTCTGACAAATGAGGAGAAGAATATCTGTGAAGTTTCTCTTTATGCATGTGAAGTAACCCAAATTCAAAATCTGTTACGGTTTTAAACCTCCTGCAGTGTGATCCTGGTATAAAGGGCTTAAACGTCTCGTCAAGTCCAGACAATCCCAGATCATGCTACAAATCAGGCTCAAAATAGTCCTTTTTGACTTTGAGAAAAGGAGCTGTCATTTAAACTAGCTTGGGATTTGTAGCCATCACAGAAATGTGGCACACTATCCACGGAGTTAATATTCAAGATGGTTCACATTTAGTTCAGAGGGCTACAGCAGTTCAGCACTGAGACTACGTGGGATGTGCCGTCACACAAAGTTTGTCTGTCTTTCTCCAGGCATGCGCATCCTGGTGAACCTGCTGCTCGACACTCTGCCCATGCTGGGTAACGTCCTCCTCCTCTGCTTCTTCGTCTTCTTCATCTTCGGCATCATCGGGGTTCAGCTGTGGGCGGGACTGCTGAGGAACCGCTGCTACCCGGAGGAGAACTTCACACTGTGAGTCACCGTCTGCTCCGTGTGTCAGCGTGCGAAGACGAGTGTGAGACAATGTAGTGCACAAAGACCCGCGACGTGTTCGTCCGTCTCGCTGCGTGTTCGTCTGTCTCTCGGAGTGTGTGTGGCGTCGACACACTGTCATTTCTGTTTGTGTTTTAATAACACTTCAATGATGTGAATGTGCACTAGCAGGAGAGTAAGTATACCTGTAGTACTTACTGGATTACATGTACAGTGTAGCTGCAGCGTTTGTGTTTCAGGGTGTGAGTGTGCATGGGTCCATCACCTCTCCTCTCATTACCTGCCCTCCCTCTGTGTGGCTCTACAAGATTAATTACATCATCTTACTGATATTAACAGCTCTCTGGCTCCGTGTCTCTCAAGTGCTAATATAATGATTACAAAACTAAAATTTGCACACAGCAAACATCACTATCTCAGAATCAAATCTGTCGCTTAATTAAAAACTGTCCTGTCAGCCCCCTGAACCTCTGTTACACACACACCACTGGCATTATTTTCAATGCAGTAACATACAGAGATGGAAAATCTACAAATTTAGGTAATCGTCATTCTAAAAAAATCAGATA